AAGGCAGTAACTGTCACTGTCGGAAGTCTATTGTGCTTCTAGAACTCCGTACATCACTAGATAAGGGCTATCTTTGCTAGAAATATTTGGTTTTGATTTATGCCTCAAGCAAACCGGCCATTTAAGGCTTATGAAGTATTCAATATTGAAAATCCTGAACAAACCCTCAGGCAAAAGTTATTTATGAACCGTCAATCACAAAATTAATACATCACCATCGATTTTACCTACTTTTAAGACCATTCAAATACAATCAGACTTGATTGTCACTCAGTTTGTGCGTTCTCGCTGTTTCTTTAACAAAAGATTAATTGTTTGTTAGACTCAAGTAAACATTGACGATGTCTATTGTAATACTTGTATTATCAAATGACAAATAACGATATTGAAACTTGATAAGCTAACTAATGTAACCTAATTGGTTCTATTACTTGCATTGCTGGCTAACACCATATATTATTTTTAGGGCATAAATTAATCAAATGCAGTATGTCAGTCTGTATTGAGGAGGCAGCTTAATCACATTTCTACAAATATGGCTTTTTATAGTTAATTTAAGCTATAACTATGATACTAACCAAATCACGAATCGTTTACTATAAAATGGTTGTTACAATGTTTGATGTTGGTTAACAACCAAACGTAAACATTTACTATACACAACCAATGTCTACCTTCCGAGGAAAATGTCCACAACAACATGCATATACGCTGCATTAATGCATAGATTAACGCCCCCCACTCTCAGTATGCGGTTATTATTCTTTAACACATTTACTCCCGTGTGTCTGGAGACTCTACATACAAAACAGTGTGACGACCATTGCTGAACCTGTTAATTAAGATTACTTACTAAAAAATAATAATTATTTAAGATTAAGACATATTTATTATCTTTACTATATGATTCTTATCTTTAAGTTGGGATGGCTCTTAACTTTATCCGTAACCAATTCCAAAGAAACACAAGAAATTTAATTTACAAGGAAAACAGACTGTTTTCTCAGAAATAACCAAGTTGTCAAGATTCTCATAACGCTAAGAAAAACTTTAACGCTAAATAAAAAGTTGTACCATAACTCACTCTCACAATTCTGCAGAAAAGGTCGAGTTTTAGGGTTTAGTTAAGTTTATACACAAGCTGGTACAGTTAGTTGTTAAGGGGGTAACGGATAACCTTCTATATTTCAGCATTTTACGATGTAAGAAAAACAATATAAAAGTTTTCGCCTAATCTCTTCTTAACATTTACTCGATTTAGACCTAATAAACAGATCTGGAAACTATAAGTTTTACAACAATATTCGATCTTTTTCGTTGTCTTTTGAATTAAGTCCGCAATATACTATCAGTCTTCTACAAAGGTTTCGGATTATTTACAAAATCCATTAAAATATTACGGATTACCATCGAGTCTAATGATTTCAAAACAACAAACAAGGTTGACATTTGACATAAACACCCTAATATTTCACGAATGCTTCAAGTATATTTGTACTTAGATATAGCCTAGACTCTATAAGAAAGGGGGGTTTGTAACTCTAAACAAATTGTACTGTTTTTTTGTGTGATTTACTCATAATCTGTCTCGTGGTGCATACATTTATCTATTATTGAACGGGGAAAACACTTTTTTATAAAAAGACTTTTAGTTTATAGTTTTGAACCACGCAAATTGAAAAAAAACTAAAAATTCATTAACAAAAGGTGCAAGTGCTTTTAAGTTGGCATCTGCCCTCTAAGGGTTTGTAAAGATGCCAGTTTAAGTGTATACCTCTAATATATACGCCAATCAATAGCCGTAAAAATGTATAAAGATTTAATTTACCACACCAAGATTTAAAGATGAATAGAAATATTTATTTGCACTCCAGACATATTGTAAAGGTTTTTCGTGAATAGAGGTTCTGTTAATTTTTAAATAATTATGTCAATCACCAATTTTTTTGTTGATTTGAAATTATTTAAATAACTTATTCTTACGTGTCCAAATTGGAATTTATTATATTTTAGCGAATTTCCCTTTAGGGAAGTAGCAACTACCGTAGGTGGCACGGTGATACCTAGACACGGGACCAATTTACTTTTTCATTTTGATTTTCGCAGAGGCCAAAAGCATCATTCGTTCAAATTTTTATATATGTATGTATATAAATAACGTGAACACGATAACTTGAGTAATTTGTATCCGATTTTGATTAAATTTGGTTTGAAGGTGTAAGGCGGGATAAACTTGAATGAGTTGGTGATCCAGCATGATCGGAAAATATGAACGGTTTTATGGGGTAAAAATAAATAAAAAAGTATATAAAATAAAATCTCCCAATTGTTCTCTAAACTTTCTTAAATAGCTTAAAAAACAAACGATTCAGTATATCAAAGTGTTTTTGTACGATTATTGGTTAGGAAGAACACTAAAAAAATAATTCAAAATTCCCATGTTATTCTTATGGAGAATATTGTAAAATGGTGTAGGTTGCTTGTTTATGGATATATTTTGATCAAACTTGGCAAATATATTGTTGATTTTTTACTAAGCTATAATTATTTTACTTAAAAACACACTTTATTAGTTTCTTTGTAGCAGCAAACCTAGGTACTTGTTAAACCTAATGTTATAGATAAATTTAAAATCAATTCAGCCAAATGGAAATTTTCTTAGACGGCAGGTTTGCTGCGGCGGGGTATTTGATAGTTTAACTTTTAGCCAATTGCATATTTGTTCCAATGTAAAGTCCATCAATAATATAATGCACTGCACACTCACCCTATTGCATAGTATACCATAGCGGAAATAGATTATTATCTATAATAAACATATTAAAGGTGTCAAGGCTGAATAATTTGATCCATATGCCTAGCGGAAATTCTGTTACGACCCGCAATATATTCACTTTAGATATTATATTTAGACGCCATATCATATTATATGTTCATATTAAATGTTTCAAATACTAATCAACCAAATTCACATAGTTGTGTTCGAGCCCAGTACGTTGTTCTCATCACAAAAATCATAAATGATATTTATTTGTATTTATCTACATGTAAATCTTAACGATCAAGCATTATTATTTTACTATTAAATATGTATTTCAAGTAAGCTACAATGTATATTTGAATAGGGAGAAATATTGTGCAAGTACATAACCTACCAAACGTTATCACTATCCCTTAGGCTTAAATCTTCCCGCATTGGCAAGAATCACGCACCCCAGTGATGTTCTTTTTAACTCACTAGAATTGATTCTACAATATACAGTAGTCACTGCTTGTAGGCAACTAGATTTGAGAATCTATATATTTTAGTTTTTATTACTGTTTTTTACCAGTATACAATTGTATTGCTTAAGTTTAAAGATTAATATTTAGAGGCATACTAAATAAGAATGATGTGTCAAAAGGGTTAAAACAACTACCTAAGATGTGTCTTACCATTTCCTAAAGTCACGTATAAAAAGTTTAGTTAACTTTATGTTCAGATCTAATGACACAGAATGTGCTAGGGTCTACATCTATATTATATATATTATATACCTTATTTTTTTATGCTGGCCAAGTTTCCGAGTCATAACAGTTGCTATTCCTCATAATAGTTTCATTCCATCAGTTAGACTTAGTTAGAAGTTTGTGTATTTGACAGAAAATAAGTAATTTCTAGATCAGCACGATCTGTCGTCACATCAACTACCGTACGAGGATTTTGAGTTTTTAACTGGCGACTGAAAGGTCTAGTAGTACCGTATCAATAGTCAAAAGATAAATCTAAAACACATAGCTCACCGGTCAAGGTTAAATGGGTACTTTCCTGTTAATGGGAACATTCATTATTATCGATGATTTCTTTTCGATATATCGATATCTTTGTTTTACTTCACGATCGGTATTCCTTCTGTTTTAATATCTTCAAACCCATTTAAATTAAAAATTAAGAACTAACCTTGGCAAAGATAATAGCCTATAATTGGATTAGGAAATGAAATTAGGTATTCTAAACTAACCTAACATAACTAACCAAACTTGCCGTAGGCTAAGTTACCGTTTCAAAAATTCCGTTTGATAACAGAAAAGGCATATGGGGAATAGGCTTTCAAACGGAATTTTTAAATGTTACAGCAAGTTTGGTTGGTTAGGTTGGTTTAGAACAGTTTCATTTCAACATTAGTTATTTGTGCAACTAGTGAGAAAAGTGAGCAATTGACTCACTCGAGAGAAATCCTTACTCACGAGCCGTAGGCGAGTGAGGAATGTTTTCTCGAGTGAGGCAATTGTACTTTGAACTCGAGTTGCACATTATACTTTTCCTACAGTTTAACAGTTACCATAAAACAAATAAATTTGTGAAGAAACCTAACCTATTTTTACACAGAAGTGAACTTTTAATATAACATTTAATGTGAAGTGACAAATACAACAGTACAACAGCTGACCAGCTGATTTACAGCCAGTGCTGCTAACGTATTTCGCGCGCATACGACGTTGCCTGCATGTTACACGCTCACTATTTCGTGCCTTAACGTTGCAAATCTGGAGTGAGACAAAGTAATTAGAGTGAGACAATGTTAACATTGTCTCACTGATGAGCGAATTGGCCACTTTGCTTTCTCAAATCAGTGAGAGAACATGTACATTGTTAGGTAACTGTAGGAAAAATATTTTTTTTATTGTTTGTTGATACTGAACAATATTTATTTACTGTATCCTTATCGTAGCTGTCAGCTGATATGTTTCAATTTGTAAATATCAATATATCGGATGGAAAACAAAAATATCGATATATCGAAAAGAAATCATCGATAATAATGAATGTTCACTTTAACAGGAAAGTACCGTTAAATGATTACATAATTTCGTAGCTCATTATAAGAAAATGTAATCATAAGTGCGATAGCAGATTTTTGGGATTATGAGCTATGAGACGACACGGTAAATACAATACTCCATGCCCTGTACTACTTTCCCCACAGCACAGCTGAAAAGTAGTGCAGCAGCTGATTCACTCCGCTTGTCCGCTGTCTTGCAAGTTGCAAAAATGCAAATCGTCTTGCCTTGCTTGACTTGACAAGGAATCTATTCTGTCTGCGTTACAAGAGATTTTATTGTTTGTATAGGTGTAATTAACGTCAAGACCTTGGTAGTTTCTTTTAAGTTCACAAAATTATACGTGTTTTTAGATCGTAAGGCAGTACAAAGTGCAGTTCGTCGGACAAGTAAGTAGTTAACTATTAACTTAAGAAGCTCTAATCAGTTTAGTCCTGTACAATTATAGAGTGGCATAGTCCTATCATAATGTCACAATAATTCATGATTTGCACAAATTTATCTTAGTAAAAAATCATATTTTTAAATTGTAATATAATTCCGAGCACTAACTTAGGCCTTTATTCATCAAATGAATAGGCTTAGCAAAATATTACTAAGGCTATCAATAATTGTTTGTTTAATAGGCTAGGCCCTAGCTTGTCTAGTCAGTGGGTGTTATTCAACCATTAGGCCTATATATTTTAAAGAGGTTTTACTTTATTCCATTATAAAATCTGTTGAAGCCAGCTTTTTATTTTATACTAGCAGAGTACCCGTCCTTCGTACGGGGTTGGCATATAAGTATCAAATGCGTAGTTTTCGCGTTTACTTTTCCCATACACACACACAGACACCACCTCTTTTTTATAATAGAATAGATATATATATAGGTGGCTGCACTTTACTCTACGTCCTAGGCCTATCAAATAGCCTAGTCCCACGATAAGCCTACATAAGATTGCTCAGTAGGAGGCCCTACTGGTAAGTTAGCTTAAATTATTTTAAAGTCGGCAAATATTTACCGTATTTACACTGGGATATGATGTAATTTTTATATGTCTACTTACAGTATTTTTAACGCTGAATCCAAAAATGCAATCAGTTTTTGTCGTAGAGATTCCTAAGTGGCCGTAAAACGAAGGTTAGGATTACGAATCTAAGGATAATTGAGCGGTACTGAAGCTGAAAGTAATGGTAATATGGCGTGGTCTGGACGGGTCCGTACTGAGTGAAGAGTGAGGAGTGAGGACTGAGTGAGAAGAGCAAACAACTGTTTATACTTGATCTAATGCGGAATGAAATCAAATCAATTCGTTTTGAAACCAAATAATCAGTTCTTATTTAGGCATGTGAGGAAGGTAGGTCGGGTTTTATGCGGATTCGTGACTTTATTAAGTGTTTTGAAGTGAGGTTAGATTAGGAAGGTAAAGGTTAGGTTATGAACCAACTCATTAATTTATGCAACTTCCAGACTGTTTTTGCACAATTGAAATAGTGCGCAAGCATTTTTGATATTGTTATTTCATTGTGTTTCACCCACTATTTCAATTGTGCAAAAACAGTCTGGAAGTTGCATAAATTAATGAGTTGGTTCATTATAACCTAACCTTTAACTTACCTAATCTAACCTCACTTCAAAGGACTTATAGTCACGAATCCGCATAAAGTCCGACCTATCTTCCGCACATGCCTTTTCTGACATAAAATGTGATTTAAACATAATATTAAGGTTGGGTTGGGTTAGGTTGGATTAGATTAGATTATGTAACATCATTTATTAGTTGCTGATACATTAAATTATGCACTGTGGCACGTTTTCACTTTTAGACACAATTGGATTATGTACTATGGGATGCACTATGGCACGTTCATTACCAGACGTTGAGGCATTAGTCAATGGTTGTGGATTGGAATGAGAACGATGATCATGTCGGCAGTGGTCTAGCTTCTATTACTAATATTTTACGTGAATAAATTCTATTTAGTTATAATTTATGTTCATGTGATTAATAGTTTATGTATGGTAGTTGATTTATTGTATTTTATAAACAGCACCAAAGTCCATTTTCTTTTTAAAATCTAGTTATTGCATATTGTAACTCTGATTTTGCTCTCATGGCGTCATGTGTGGTTTTGTCTGTTTTAGTATAGAATGTAAACAACTGACAGCTGTTTCCACTCCACAAACCTTCCACCCCTTTTAGTGTTTGTAGCCACTAGAACTTGGACTCGTCCATACCACAAATATGTTAATAAATCAACAAAACCGAAGCTTAATATTCATTATATAACTGTACGGCCACTTATGAATCTCTCCGACCAAAACTATTTGCATTTTTGGATTCAGCGTAAAAAATACTGTAAGTAGACATATCAAAATTACATCAAATCCCAGTGTAAATAGGGTAAATAATTACCTTAAAGTCAAATCTGGACAGAGCATCACTGCCGTATGTCCCCATCCTACGTTGGATGAAGAGTCCCCGAGCAAGCGGTCTCCCTAATACATGAATGTGCTCGCCCCATCCGTAGGCCTACCCATCATCCAGCCTCACCCTAAAAGTCAGCCGTTTTTGATTGCTCAATTAGGTTCTCTCTTGAAGGGCAAATAGTTTCTAAGTCCTATTATTTTTGGAATTCTGCTTTTGTGCTGTTTGAAAACACAAATACCGTAGTTTGTTTTCCGGAAATTTAAATTGAGTTTGTTTGCTTCAAAGAATTTGGAAAGATCTTAGATTTTTTTCATTAGCCTCACCTTTCAGAGTTTCGACATCCTCATGACCAATGTTGTATCATCGGCAAAGAGGTCTCAGACATTGGACTCTGGAATCGCGTTGGTGATGTCGTTAATGTAGACCAAGAATAGGAGAGGTCCTAAGACGGATCCTTGCGGAACTCTGCTTGTGATTTTTGAGGAGTCGACATGACGTTTTTAATTTTGTGATTAGGTTTTCCTTTAATTTGGTATCGGTTTGTCATGTACGACTCAATCCATTCAAAAACAATTCCTGAAATGCCAATTAAAGCCAATTTATCCAAAAGAATACCTAATATGATCAACACAGTCTCAGAGGCTTTTGACAAGTCGGCGAAGCAACCACTGTCTCACCAGCCTCAACCGCATAGTTACAATCATTAACAAAATCAATTAGAGCCAATTTTGTGGATCTGTTTTTTCTGAACCCTTATTGTCTATTACAGACAGTATTGTTTACTTCAATGAATTCAGTGAGTTGCTCCGAAACAACTTGTTCTATATAAATTTTGAGACTGACAGAAGAAGTGAGAATGGATTACCGGTAGGCCTATAGTTGTCCGCCTTTTTAAAAAGAGGTTTTACTTTAGCTACTTTGCAGTTTTTGAGGAAAACTCCAGTTTTTAAAGAAATATTTATCATGTACGTGTCAATGGCAGTAAAGTCTCAAATTTGCAAAATTTCTGTTTGTGCATGTTGATTTCATCGATTGGTTCCTCTAAATTTTTTTGAATCCATTTTGGAGAGGATATCATCAAGTTTTTGTAGAGTGATCCTGTGAAAAATTCTTCACTTTGCATGCACTATTAATTTTACTAGGAAAACCTGTGAAGGGTGTCCACATTCTGGAAAGTCAGGGATAGTCATGGAAAAACAATTCTGATCATTGAAAGTCATGGAAATACCCAATGATGGATGGATTTGAGGGGACTGTTCAATGCTCTAGTCGGCCGTAACTCCGACTATTGTAGCATTTTTCACAAATATGTACGACAATTCAATTTATTTCAGTTGTATTAGTTTATGAGTTTTGGATTTGTATTAGTTCATTGTAGTAGGCCTACTTATTAAAATACCCCCGCCGCAGCAAACCTGCAGACTAAGCGAATTTCCATTAGCCTGATAGGATTTACACTAAAATGCCTCCTTAAAACTATCATATTTATTCCCTATTTAAATAGAATTAAGTTAAACGAGTACTTAGGTTTGCGGCAACAGGGAGGGTAAAAAGGTGGTTTTTTTATGTTAACAGTTTAGTAAGAAATTAATGTATTTTCTAAATTCTATCAAAATATGTTCATAAACAAGCAAATTACAACAGGTGACTTATTCTCCATAAGAATAACATGGGGATTTTAAATTTAAAGTTTTTTGGAATTTTCTCCGTAACCATTAGGCGCACAGTAACGCTTCAATAGACTAAATTATTTGCTTTTTTATGCTCTACAAAATGGTGTGAAAAGAAATTGTAAAATTTTGTGTTTTTAGGGTCAAAAATGGGAAAACCTATTTTTACCCCATAAAACCCCCCATAAACCCCCATTCCCATAGTCCGATCATGCTAGGTCGCGAACTCGTTTGAATAAATGTAGGTTTACACGTTTGTACCAAATTTCATCAAAATCGGATCATTTTTGCTCGAGTTATCGTGCTAACGGACACATATATATATATAAATACTAGCTGACCCGGCGAACTTCGTATCGCCTATGTTATAGGTTTCCCCTAAGACAGACCGATGGAAAGAAAGTACCGTTACGTTTAATTTTTAAGATGATCTCGTTCGCATCGCTCAATCACGTTCTGGTTGAAGTTCGTTCGCTACGCTCACTTGCCTTCAGGTTAGCTCGTTCGCTACGCTAACTCGCCTCCAGGTTCAAGTTCGTTCGCTACGCTCACTCACCTTTTGGTTGCAAATTAGCTGTTGTCATAAATGTAAAAGAAATAATAGTGCTGCACCCTGTACGTTTAATTTTCAAGATGATCTCGTTCGCATCGCTCAATCACGTCCTGGTTGAAGTTCGTTCGCTACGCTCACTCACCTTTGGGTTGGAGCTCGTTCGCTGCGCTCACTTGCCTTCAGGTTAGCTCGTTCGCTACGCTCACTCACCTTTTGGTTGCAAATTAGCTGTTGTCATAAATGTAAAAGAAATAATAGTGCTGCACCCTGTTGGTAATCCTTCTAACTTTAATGCTATTGAACATCATAGAACAGAACCAACTTGTTTAATTGAAACAGCTGTTAAGATTCATTAATTCCATTTCTCATAAGGTTAACATGGGAAACTTCAGAGCCACTGGGGCGGAGCCCTTTTAAGAATTTCGAAACGGGAAATAGTTTACTTCCTATTCGCATACCTACAGAATTTACACACCAAATTTCATAACGATCGGTGAAGTCGTTCCGGAGGAGTTTGCAGACAAACACTGTGACACGAGAATTTTATATATTAGATATATAGGCTATATATATGAATTGGAACGGATGGTGTTTTTGGCCTCTAGGGACCTCAAAACAAAAAAATAAATCGGTCCCGGGTCCAGGTCTTACCATGAGTACTACGGTAATAGCTTATTCCCTATATGGGAAATTCGCTAAAAGTTGTCCAGTCATTGTTGTCCATATGTACTCCATTGTTATCTGTTAATACATATTTCAGTATTTTTTTGTGAAATACCTTGTATAGGCAGTATTATTCGTGTTTGTGTGTTATATTATAATATTCGAGTAAACTTGGGAGTCATGGAAATCAATGGTAAATGGTCATGGATAGTCATGGAAATTAATGACAAATTTTCTGTGGACACCCTGCTATGAATTGGAAGCCTAGGTGATAGCCATTTACAAGATTTGATACGTTTGCAAAATAGGTGTTTCTGTGACTTGGCAGGGATCTTCAATGGCTCTGTCAATCATTTTCAAGGCTATGTTGGTGCTATTAACTTATCATTTTTTTGTGTTCTTAATCTGTTAATAACGTTCCAAGAGGCCTTTGATTTATTTTTTGCTGTGGTTATACTCTTATGAGCCCAATTTAACTTCCCTATTTGGATTTTTCTCCTATAATTGTCTTAAATTTCTACTTCTTCTAATCGTAGGCTGATTTTCTGTGCTTCCAGATAGAGTACTGCTGTAACATTTTGAATGTCTGCTGTCATCCACTTGGACCTTTTCATATTTCCTGTTTTTATTTTATTTTTAACTAATGGACAGCTAATATCAAAGTGATACTTTAATGTTTCCATAAAGCTATTAATAGGCCTACATCTTTTTGACATCCTTTGCCAAGTACCGTACACAGAGTTCCAGTCTTCATATTTTAGTCTAAATTTTAATTCTCTGAGATTTTCTGGGGTTATGCTTCTCTTTTCTATCGTGTTTTGATTTGAATGGTGTCTATTAGAATTATCTGAATTTACATTTATTTTATGGAAATGGCACGGTGATCGGAAATATGTGGTTCAACTGTTGTCTAGCATAAAATTATCTAAAAATTTGTGAGGAAATTATTGTCTATACATGTGCTCGAGGTCTCTGTAATCCTAGTAGGCTCTGTTATATTTGGTCTCAGGTTAAAAATTCCAATTTCATTAATGAATCTATGATAAGTGAATGATTCAGAGTAGGAGTACCTATACAAATATCCGGGCTCGAAGTAGGAACGGATAAATTATAGAGAAGAAAATAAAATATAATTTAGAGAATGATTGAGAAAAGGGAAAAGAAATTAGAAAGGGCCAGTTAAATAGTTAGAAGGGCCAGAGGGGTAAAATGTAGAGAAATGGAAATATTTAAATTGAAAATATGAGAGAGGGAAAAAATGAACTTACTTATTAATGGTTACAAGACAATAAGACACTGTTTTATTTACATTTTGAATGCATCATATGTTAACAATATACAGAGTTAGCAAAACAGGAGTGCCGATAGAAACCAGGTCAAGTCCCTTCAAACGCACGCACCCCCGCAGGTCTCCCATCGGCACTCCCGTTTTGTTAACACTATAACAATTAAAAATGAATTGTAACACATGTTACTGGGGAAAGAGGTGTATATTAAGTAAAACATAGAGAGTTAAATGAATGGTTAAAGTTTACTGAACAATAAGTATTGTCAGTATATATGTATTAAATATTCATTTAGTTTGTTGAAATATTCCTCTAGGTTATTTTGGTATGTAGATCTATAAATTGATGCAACAGTAAAATGTTCTTTATTTATGGTAAAACTTATTTCGGAGCATTCAAAAACTGTTTTTTTTTTATAAGGTTCTTGCCAATTGTTGTTGGTTTAATATTTTCGATAATGTCACAGTGTATGTTTTTTAATATGGCTACTCTACCTAGACCCATCTGTTCTCCCATATGCTGCTAGTAATTCATAATTTGCAATGTTTAGTGCGTTTAGGTTAATCTGATCTAATCCATGATCATTGATTATAAATAAATCGGTGTTTTCTGAGAGAAAAACTGTTCAATAATTTCTAACTAACTTATTGATGTTCTGCTAAGTTGACAATTGATTCTAAGCTATGGTAGCCTGCTTGTATCTATTGTACTACCGGCAAAAAGGTACCCAACAACAGACCTGTTTAGTACCCAAAACATAGCCATTGCAAAGTTACAAAACATTAGTCTATTATAAAATTTTCTGCTCATAGTACCGTTACTTAAGGCTCCTAGTATTTTTACTTTTTTTTTAAGTACTTGTATTCAAATTATAGTTTGTCACTTTAAATTATGTGTGAGTTGGTGACTCAGTCAGTAGCGCCACAGACTTCGAGCCCAAGGTAGCAATGTCCTTAAGATCCTGGTAACTCACACTACTTTTTATCATTATGGTTCACCCTTGTACTGTACTAGCTCACCCTTGCTTTGCTGGTTATGGTCCATGGATCAAAATCAAAATCAAAATTTTATTGGGCCATTCAACATTTAAGTAATAGGCTAGGTCACAAATTATAATCCTCTTGGGTCCTCTTGACGTACAATAGTCAGTCCATAATAATGAAATAAAAACATGCATAAACATCATGCAGAAGGAAAATATATATAAAAATAAGTAAAAAAGATAAACCCAAAGCGAAAGCGTATGTTGACGTTGACGGGCAAATGCAAGGTTACAAGAGCCCGCTAACTATGTTTTTCTTCTTTTTTTAATTCCAAATATTATGCTCACAGATGTAAATTTTGGTTGGATTTTGGCCCAACGGTGAATGAATGAGGATGGGAAGGCCAGATTACTTGTATTTTTAGTGCTCACTAATTAATTGCATGACGACTTTGTACAGTACAAATGGCTTAGCTCTCTTTAAAGACTTGAATTTGTCCGTTCAAGCAGACCATAAAAGCCTGTACTTCGAGTGTATCACAGAGCAAAGCAAAGTGTGAGACGGTACACAGTACAAGAATGAACTTTCGGCCTATTGATAAATTTTAAATGGCGACACTGGGACAAACCCATGACATTTAGGACTGCCATGCTAATGCTACCTTGGCTTTAGGCCTACAGTCCTCCAATCTACATTGACTGAGTCACCTATTCAAGAAAGTTTATTAAACTAAATCTTTCTATTTGTTTGTAAAAATTGGCGTATTTATTAATTGAAATTTAAGTATATTTATTGATAGCAATGATGTTTGGATTCCTTCAATCGATAAGTTGCAGTATTTGTGCCTGTTAAGAGTTATTGTATTGTATAACATGCTGACAAAACCAATAGATTGACCATTTCAACTTTTATAGTTCAAAATACATATTTTCAATCAAACCCTCTCTGGATGATTTATTTTATAAACTGAAATGAGGTTATAAAAGTGTAATGAGCAAGTTATATATCTAGATTGAAGCCTTAGAAAGAACACTGCTAGATAGCACTTGGTCAAATTTATTAGCTACAGACCAAACCTATGGTCCGATTTTGATTCCCTACATTTTGTATTTAGGTAGCCAATCCATATTATCTCCTTTTGTGATTTTTCAAATAAAAATAATAGTTACACCCACCGCTTTACTCATGATAAAGAGTTGTTGCCAACATAATGGGAGAAAGTAATGTCATATTGCTGATACCATTTATTTTGACTGATATCACTTTCATTTTGAGAAAGTTTTGTTTGATAATGTAAATTTCCTTTGACGTGGCCATACAAAACATGCTGTATGATTGTAATTGTTTTCTTTTTTTTCAGATGGTTCAGGAATATACATAACAAAATGGCGTACAATAAGTGTGATAGTGACAAACATGGTAGGCACTAACTTTGAGTGTTCTATTTTACCTCATAAACTTATACTTTATTACTGTGTTTTTTACTAATTAAATATGAATATGCTTTTATTTCACAAATCATTTATTGTAATTATGTATTATTTATATTATTTACACTAAAACAATGTTTTGTATTTTATATGGGACATTTTCAAATTACAGCCTATATGATTTAATTAAAATATTTGGTAATTTGTCATATTTATTTGATCATTAATTAGATCTGATCTACTAATGTAATTTTACAGATACCTATTATAATTGTGCAAAACACAAGTTAAGTAAAAACTGTCATACATTTACTGTGACATATATTTCATTACTCTTTTAGTCTTATCATAAGTAAATATGTTTTTTTTCAGCTTCCTATATGGATGGCATACCAGTAAAAATTAGTGAGAAGTACAAGCCTCCCAAGAAGATTATTCTCCCTGGTTCAGTAGTTAATAAACTTAGCTCAGAAATATCACTTCCAGAGGTAAGATTTACATTTTTCGAGTCAAAGTTTAAGTATTCTTTTATGCAGTGACATTCATTATGGCAATGGTCATTACCGTTTATGAGTGTATTTCTATTGATCCAAGTTGTCTTGCAGTTTTGGACAGCATGAGACAGTGGAACAGTTTCACTTGTGTTGCTGAATTGAGTCAATTACATAGGGAATTGGTCCCGCTTTCACTGATCTAGAACCATTCCTGTCTAACAAGCATGTTTTGTCAAAGTCAGACTTCACTCTTTCAAATTTAAATCTTGAAAACATGCTGTTTGTCTCCATATAAAGCTATATTTTTTTATTGTGTGAAATTAGGTAGACCTAGTTAATTGTTCGCTTAAAGACAGAAAGAGAAATCAGTCCCTTTTATGTATTTTTTTTTGTTGCAGCACAAATGAAGTCAGCAAGCCTCCATAAACTTAGTGCTGTATTATAATAATATATTATTTGGTGGTATTCATAAAACTAAAATCAACCTCTATTTAAAATTAAAATACCCTGAATAGTCATGTAAATCAAGTTGGTAACTATAAGCTCCCTAATCAGTCAAGATTTATATGACGAAATCAAATAATTATTTTTGTAGATTACAGTCATGGAAGTTATGAAAGTGACAGTATATTTAAATTATAACTGATTTTGAACTTATCTCAATACAGCATGCCCTCAAATACATTGTTGTTTTGCCATAAATATAGATTGATAAAGTGTTGTATTAAAATGTTTTCATCGGGACAATATTTATCCTATTAAATTGCAATAGGATATACAATACTATCATAGGCTAACTTATTAATTATTTTTCTGTTATTCTTTTTCAGTATGACTTTACCCTAGAAAAAAGTGTGTTGGAGAAAATGACTCAGTGGCGGCAACTGCGGCAGTCACAGAGAGATGCACGCAAACAACGGATCACAGCAGAACAACAAGCGAGAGCAGCGAACAAGACTGAAGAAGCCCCGTCAACAGAACCTACCACCCCCGCCACCATCCTCACCCCCGTTCCCATCCATGCAAATACCCATCCTACCACAAACCTTCACTCTAGTTTCAACATATCAGAGTTCGAACAAGATACCTCCAGTCCGTTTGACAATATGGAACTGAAGACGATCAACGATTTGGAAGAGCTTGCTCATGTTTTACAGCCTGTTGTGATCGCTGAGAAACCTGTAGATAGTGATAAGAAAACCCCGCCCCCGCCAAGACTGAATGGGTTCAACCAGTATAGTTATGATAGTTGGACTCATTACAATGCCCCGCCCGGGTGTTACCCTCCTGGAAATTCTGTGCAATCATATGTGGTGCAGAGGATGGACTCAAGGAGCGTGCCTGACATCCTGCAGGAGCTGCGGACAGAGCTGAGAGACAAGAGAGAGGCTGAGCAGAGGACGGAGCCGCCGAGACCCTCTAGCACTGGCCCAGCTGAGGTGAGATTAACATTCCGTGATGGGATTAAGAGTAAAAATGTTTGAAGTGTTTTATCCTATTCATGGCATAAATAGTTATATCCGAGGTATGGCCACAATTGGTTTCATGGTAAAAAGCCTTTTTTTCTTATTTTTTAAATTTCTTTTTAGACACATTTGTGCTTAGGCTATTCTATTCATCTTTGCTGTGATCTACTCACTGCAACAAATGTAGGTAATATTTTGACAGTAGGCCTACGTACTGCAGTTCCTTAGCCAATCACTGTTAAGACTTTTCTTCCCTATTGTAGATAAATTTTATCACTATTTAGGCCTACCTTAGTTTTTAAAGCTTCAGACAGTAACCATTAACATTATTTTGTATTAACACTATTTAAATTTCACTGATGTAAGCAGAATAAAGAAAACCCTTTAAAATTGATGGATATTTCAAACATTTTTTTACCAGCACTTTTCCTTCTAAACAGGCTTACTTAACTTAATGTGAATTATTTAATATTTAAAGCAAAATCTAGACAGCTCTATGAGTGACTTTAAGCAAAATTTAGCATTGTGCATGGTCACTGTGTCGAGTTGAACCATAAATATTTTGGAAAATTTTAATAATTATCTTTTGTCCTTTATTAATAATCTAAAAAAAACATTGTTTCTAAAGTTCCTTAAAAACAGATACTGTCTTTGTTTCTTTTAAAATAAAACTAAATCTTTAGATGAAGAATTCCATTTAAGAACTACAAGTTAGTTTGTTTACAAGTAAGTTTGTTTACAAAAACAATATAATAATAACTAGTGGCTTGAAGGGACATAAGTCCCTGAAAAGCTCAAATGTAAAACAAACTATTGTAATACAGTATAAACAAACTTAAATAAATCTAATACATATATCAGATATATATCCCAGTACAACATATCTTTTGTGTAAAAAATAGTTTGTTGTTTGTCTTTGTTTGCTTTTGTTGATGTTATTTTTAATAAATAATTTAAATTACTCCAAAGGTTTAACCCTGCTAAAGGCAGCAAACATGTTTGTGAATAAATATTAGTTTACTAAGGTAGCTTTGGTCTTTTGAAAAAAAATAGGAAAAAGGCTTTCGTGATTAAAATATTGGAAATTGTCTTCGTCATATATGAAAAGGCAAATAAAGGTGTGTTGAGATAAGCTTAGTTCTTAGTTAAAACCGCTAAATTAGCACCCCGACCCAGTTATTATTTCTAAGTGCATGCTCCTTTTGTAAACATTACAATAAATCTCAAATTAAAAATGTTAGTAAGTATACAAAAAAGTGTAGAATAAATCTTTAACAAATGTTTTTAAATCAAAACAAATCAGAAGTTTTCAACAATCTTGAATCGATTATTTTTTAGTCAATGTAGTTATTTCATGTTGAACATTCCTTTAACACAACAATAACCGTTAAGTTAGAAGAAAAAACTTCATAATTTTTTCAGCCATTCTAAGTTTAATTCCTTTGATTTGAGCCATCTCCTATGATTCTACTACTTATCATACGCTCAACTAATTTACTTAAAAATACACAAGTTTGCCAATTGCACAGTAAAATAATTGATGTCAACATTCTAAGACGTAACTAAAAAGTATTAATTATTATAGATAGGCCTAAAGTTATCCCTGGTTTTATATAGTATACAGTACATTGCAGAATTGACTGGCAAGTGAGTAATCCATATGTAATATTGCTTACTGGTTTGATGATTAGTCACGATCAGCTGTATTGAAGTAAACAAAAATCAGCAGTAAATGGCTTCTAATGTATTTCTCAAGGAGAAAATTTTACGTTATATCCAATTTTGTGTTAAAATTTAGGGAATTTTACTATTTTTCCCGCCGTCATAGGATCGAGACCTTTAATTTGAGCCCTCTCCCGTCGTTCTACGACTTCCCAGTCGCCCACAATTTTGACGCAAAGAATCGGCTTACGTAATTAATATATAGATAGATTAACAACCATATGACTTTATAGTCATATGTCAGTCTTGTTGACAGAACTTGTAGATTAAAGTTGCTGGATTCAAGAAAAAACATAGGCTATTTTTCATTAAGTTTAAAAAAATGTCTAAAAACTATCAATTATTTTGGAAACTCCTCTTACAAGTTTGTTAAATAATCTTCAGGAAATTATTATTTTTCCCTATGTTTTGGCAAGTGTAAAACATAAGCCTACAGAGCTTACCACTTTTCTTGTTCTCCCCAGATGTCCAGCAGGAAGACTGCGGCAGAAGTTAATGCCAGCTGGGTGTCAGCTGAGCAACCTTCTACACTGCCAAACCCATATGCTCAACTGCCCTCGACGTGTCAGCGCCTGTGTGATCGACTGGCAGAGATGGGTTTCCCCCTTGCTAGGGTAGCCCGTGCCACCAAGTTGTTTGGCGACGATGAGACACGAGTATGTTTGTTGATTTTAGTGAAGTTTAGTAGAATTGAGGGAAGCCATTTCCTGATAAAAATGAATAGCCTTTTTGAAATTGTAGGAAACGTTAGAATAAGTGATTGTGAACATTAGTTTGTTTTAATAAAAAATCCTGTGGGGAGCAAGCTGGCGTAGTGGTTAGAGCGCGGGACTTCAGTCCCTGAGGTCCCGGGTTCAATCCCCGCCAAGTCACGAATGGATTTTATCTAAGTGATAATGCCGCAACCCCTAGGTCTAGCCTGAAGTATTGTGAAAACAATCCCAGGCTCCTACCGCGTGTGCTCGAATTGATCCGCGGTCAGAGGGTAGTTTTGGACCATTCAAACTGACCCGGGGGTCTGGTAGGTAGATAATAGGGTCGCTTGAAACTTGTGATCTGACCCGCGATTCTTTAAGGGAAGCAGGGGAATTCTCCCCGTCCTCTACGGGAAAAATAAGTTGAGTTATAGACTTAGTATTTTCTTATATACCCACTAATATGATTAAGCCTATTAGCTAATTTTAGCAATTTAATTGATTTGGCTTAATATAGCAAGCCTAGTTTGGTCTTTTATTTAGTTTATTGTGTGTATTCAATTCCGTCTAAATATTCTATAAGTTTCGATATCTACAATTTGTTTCTACAATTGGCAGAAAGTTAACATAATAATTTTGTAATATGGTTGTCAATTAATTGTTGATTAATTTACTTAATTGCAATTTGGTTTGCATTCAAAAAGTAAACAGTTTTGTACAATCTTATCATCATAAAATAAAATAAATCGTAAAATGAAATATTCATATTAAATAAATCGTATGTACATTAGTTTGTCTGTCAGCATCTCGTAAACACATTACTAAACCTAAACCATCCTTGCAATCGTAATGCACCTTTAGAGAGTAGTTGATCTCTGGCTACAAATGTTTACTTTTCAACTATTCAATTTTACTGCAAATATTTACTGAGAGTTGCTATGAAATTCTTCAAGTTTAGTGCTATGACTATAAGCGTTCAATACGGCTTTCAATACAGTGCAAGTAACTCTATCAATGATTAAAATATAACACTAATACTATTATATCCTAAATCTCACTCAAGTTAACATCTTACAACAATATCAAGTTTTTTCAAACTGCATACTTAGTCTCAACCGGGTCGCGTTTTCGGAATTCTTCACCAAAATAGACATCATTACGCAAGACATTTTTACAGAGAAGACGTTATTCAAATTCCTTATAGGGTGAGTGTGTCTGTGTATACCACCTCCCTCTTCCTATATAAAATATCCTATATCCCATGGTTTGGATACTGAAAATAAAAGGTTTTGGACTAGGAAGCGTAGGCCTATGCGTGTACATGAAAATATTAAATTTTATTCAATATTTCATGGTTTTCTAAAACGATCTGGGATATTCTAGGAGGTCTTATAACTTTATGAATTAACTATGGAAGTGCGTGATTAGTAGTTAATCTAGAATGCTCTTGAAAGAATATTCCAGATTTGTCTAGATTGTACTAAAATTATATATTATCTTACAGTATTTTTCATCATTCAGGAGTTTTTCTTAATAAATATACACACCAAACAATTTTTTCCCATTTTTTCCCCACCGTCCTTGGACCTTAAGCTTTAAAATGAATCCTCAACGGCCATGCTACTTTTTACGTAGCTCGAGATATTTAATGGGAACTGATTTGCTTACGGAATTAAATTTTGATTGATTTCATATCTTTTACATAATATGACTCAAATTAAAAACTAGCATTGAATATTGGATACTGAAGTAGATCTATATGGACCAGCTGTAGCCAATTTTTTTTTTTCGTTAAAAAAGAACGTAGTTGTGTGAGGCAGCCACAGAATGCACTAGTGACTTAAACTATATTTTCTACTTTATTTTTTGTTTTATTAATAGCCAAAGATATTTAAGCCTTAATACTTTAATGCGTTTATAATACGTTTTCAATGAAATGGCGACCATACAAAGTAGGCATTTTAAGCCAAGTATGAATGGAGATGAGTGTAGAAAGCCAATTCTATACTTTGTAGTAAACCTATTTGTTGAAATATGAATCAAGAAACATGAATTCGTACTGAATACTTGTACGTAAATACATAACTTTCATTTTGCTTAAGGGATTTAACAGAATTCGTTTTTATTTTTTTATGATTTCAAAGTACAATACAATAACTTGTGTATTATAATTAAAAATTACAATATTATATATCATACTACATTTTTAAATTTTAGAAAGCAACAAAAGACAACAAATGGTACCAACAATAATTTACAACAAACGATGTATTATTTTTAAGGACAGTATAAAGAACACTGTAACAAATAGAGTTACACGTGAAATCTCATGTAAATGTTAGCATTCTATAGGATTAACATAGACGCTTTGAGAGCCCTGACCCTGGGTCGAAGCACTCACCACACACTGAGCTCAGCTTAACCCTCCCGGTGTCAACCATCGATGCATCGACGGTAAGGACACGCTCTGGGGTGTCAAGCGTCAATCAATCGAGAGTGGTGCAGACTGTTACATTTCGTGTAATAACTTGTGACCATTTTATATTTTATAAAACTATTTTTAAAAAAATTTCACATTTCAGTTCTTCAATATTTTAGTTTAAAAGGAAGTGAATTTCCTAGCATCTATTGTCTACAGTTGGACTGTGTACTCGACCATCCTTATCTCTACATTCCATTCCTGAATTCCAAAAATTTCCTGTCTGCCAACTTGAACTAACCATTACAGAGCGTCACTTGGGAATTGACTACTGCTGAAGCAGGATTTAATGTGTTCTATGTTGAGTTAAATAATTTTTGTAGCCTTTTGTTGGGATATTAAAACTCAAGAATACATACCTATTTCTCAAGTGAAAATGAAATGTTAACTGCCTGTAAATATGTGCAAATAAGGAAATTTTGTCTTTTTATGATTAATGTATTTAAGGAATTTTTATCTGTGAAAAACTTATCTTCAAAAGCCCATAGGGTGAGTACATTTGTCTATGCTTAATTTAATTTCATTTCAAACTGTATTACTATGAAGGAAACCTGATGAAAAAAATCCATTCTCTTGTAAATATTGGGAAAAATGTATTGTGTTTTAAATAATCAATTATTATCCAGAAAGTTATACCATTCAACTCAGGATTTCACATGTGTTATCTCAAAACTTTTCCTGCAAGTCTTATGTAACTAAATATTGAATCTTATGGTAATTGTTTGAATATTTTATCCTCTTATTACAGTTAATAATTGTTCTGATAAATTAATTGTTTCACCTTCTTTAATTTGTAAATGTATTGACATGTTAGTTTTGTAGTAAAGAAATAATATCTTATTTACAATCGTTTACCGTTGCAGTAACGGTAATGCTAATAATTTATGAAAATTAAAGTTACATGTTAAATTTGTTCCGTTTTGTGATTAATCAATTATTATTATGTGAATCTCACTGTTTAACCTTGCAAATATAATTTTTATTTCATATACAAAGATTATTATTAATGTTGATTTATGAGTACAATAATTGAGATATTTTACTACAGTAGTATATGATTGCTGAAGGAAAGGTACTTATTGAATTTGTCATATTAACTCTTTTAATTTGTTCTACTTACAAATAATTAATATTATTAATGATGTTGCAATTTAATGTTTGATGAATTACCAAGATAAATTTATATTGTTTCTGTTCCATACACATTGTATATGTAAATGAATATTTCAGGATTCACAGAACTATACTTTTATGACACTGTTTAATGCTAGGTATACTACATTTTCAGGCTTTTTTGAGTATACCCTGTTGAGATTATCACTTATTGAGGAAACTTCTAGAAGGTTGTAATTTGAGACCAACAATAATCTACCTGGACCTTAGGATATTGATAACTTGTGGTGACTACGCTTCAACACTTAAGGTCAGACACTTATGTTTTTCCAATTTTCTTGTGCTGTGATTCTCTGGGACAGTTTTTCCAGCTGAGTAACCGATCATCGAACCTATGAACTGTGTCGTGCTACTGCACAGTTATTTAATGGCTTTAAGCCTAAGTAATTCTTAACTTTTATTCTAAACTTGTTCTATATTGGTGTATTGTGTATATATAATAATTATTTGTTCTCTTATCTACTTAAAACAGAAAAAAGGGTTTCTGATTTAAATATATAGTAGAAGGACGTTTGAAATATTTTGTAAATTAGGTATTTACTTGGTATTGTATTATAATTGTTGTATTCTGAAGCAAGTCATAAGCTTAGGGGTTTGGAAATATTTTTGAGTAACAAAATACTTTGTAACTTGTATGAGCTCTGAATTAATGGTTCACATTTATAAAAAAATTGTGTTTTGTGATTTATTGATTGAGTAAATTGATATGTATTCGAATTTAAAAGGGGGTTTCTTGTTTTCACCTTAATCTTTAAAAAAAAAACAAGTGGCGCTTTTTCCTGACCTAGTCTTAGAAATTCAACCCCTAACCCAACCCACTCACCCACTGAGTATAGCTGAGGTATAAATATAATTTTGGAAGGTAACAATAAAATGGCGCGGCCAACGTGGTAGGCCTAGGTTGGATTTCTACTCAAGGTTTTATGGACTTGATTTTTTTAGAATTTGAAGAATTTTTATCGATACAGTCAACTTATACAAAACTCTTGATTGAACTTGGAGATTTTAGGGCACACATTATCGAAGTTTTGTTACAATGTGTTGTGTCTACACTTAGAAGAATAACAAACTTATATGAACCCTGATTATTATTGAACTTATTTGAATATTTTGGTCTAGTTTTTGTAGCTTGGAGAAATATTGTACAGTTCTTTGTAGAGGTTATTTGTTGTTTATCACCTCTAAAATTGTTGATTATTGATTGTGTCGTACATTATACCTTGAATAATTTGTTGCGTTGAATTTATTCTGAATCTTTGGGTTTATCTTTGAATATTAGCCTTGAAACTTTGAATTTATTTTGGGAGAA